AAAACATCCAAGATTCTAGCTAGTCGGGCCCTCCTGGAGGACCTCTTGGAGGTCTCTTGTGCATTCTTGAAGGCCTCTTGGGGGCCTCTTGAGCCGTCTTGAGCCGTATTGGAGGCCTCTTGGGCGGACTCGTAGGCATCTTTGACCTTTTTGGGCCGTCTAGGAGGCAGTGTTGGACCAGCTCGGGCGAACGTGGCGGCCATCTTGGTCGTCTTGTACGTAGGCCATCTTGGGCCCATCTGGAACGGGCAAATCCTTGCCAACCACCTGGCAAGCATTCCGGCTGGCCAGCGCACGGAGCCGAAGCCCCAGGGGGAGTCCTAAAAAGAACCAACAGCCATCAGAATCAGGCGATCGCAAACATGGATCAAGGGGGCGTAGATTAGCGACTGGTCCCGTTTCCATGGGAAGTCGTTGATTTCCGCCGCCGAGCGAAGCGGAACCAGCCGCATTTTGGGGAGGGCACCTCCCCCGATCCATGGATTTGGCGACCGCGTGCCAAATCCATGGATCGCTAGTCCATGTTTGCGCGCCCCCGACAGAAGTTCAGCACGCTGGGCATCCCTGCGATAATTTAGTGGCTTTCGGCCCACCCCGCCACCGTGCCGCTCTCGGGGTCAGTTCGGGCTTCCCCATCCTGGGGTCAGTTCGTGTGTCCCCCTCCGGCGGTCAGTTCAGGTGTTCGATGATTAATGATTTGCGATTTCCTGGCCAGTTCAATGATTTGCGATTTCTTGGGAAGCCACGCGAGAAGCCCATGAAATCACACGGGTCACACTCCTGGGCCCCGTGAAGGCTTCTCGCAGCTCTCCATGCAGAAAGCCCAGCGAGACCTGAGGACGCTACGCTCAGTGAATCGCAGCACGGTGGCGGATCTGAGCTCGTGCAGCCACCTCGGCCTCCCACATGGAGCCGTTGGGGCTGGTGACAGCGGTGCCGCTATATGTGGGAGCATCCCGCAGATTTTCTTTGCGTCTGGCGTGGCTCCAAATCCAGCAGAGGCGCGCTCATCGCGAAGAACAGTTCATCGGCCGAAGCGTAGAATTCCTGCACGCGCGCGCCGCGTGGCCAACCCTCAGCGTTGCTGCGCGGGCGGCCACGCTTGGGCATCGCTTCGCCATGGCATGACTGCCACCCTCCTCCCCCTATCCCCCTTTGTTCCCCAATCAGCACTTGCACTGAGGGGGTCCTAGCGGAAGTTGAAGGATTTGGCGAGAGTTCCCCGCCGATTTTGGTGGCAGGCTGGGTTCCCGGATTCCCAGGTTCCCGGTTCCGGGTTTCCGGGTTCCTGGTTCAGGGTTCGAGGCCGATTTCGGAGGGCGGCGAGGTTCCCGGGTTCCCGGGTTCTTGGTCGATCTTCTTATCGATCGGTCTCACCATCGATCTATTACCGATTTCTCGATCGATCTCACCATCGATGTCACAGTCGATCTCACTATCAATCTCACAAGCGATCTCACTAGAGATCGCATGAGCGATCTCGCGATCGATCTCACTATCGATCTCATTGAGTCGATGTCACTCTCGGTCTCAAGATCGACCTTATAATCGTCCTCACTTTCGATTACACTATCGATCTCAGTATCGATCTCACAATCGATCTCAAGATCGATAGGATCAATGTTAAAGTCGTTCACTGATTAGGATTTTCTCAGGTGTAATGGTCTAGTGTGCTTAGCCTAACAGGCCCCCGATCTATCCGGTTCGATGTTGAGATTCAGATATTCCGACGACCCGATGCGGCTCGATGCTTGGATGACGCTGTCGAGCACACTGGCGCAGCCGATCTGGTTAGACTCCAACTCTGTGCCGACCAGACCGGTCCGACGCACATCCCGACACGACCTGATTTCCCCACGCGATGTGAACGGATCTTGGTTCTTGGAGTAAGTCGAGGAAAGCCGCAGAGATGAACCATCAAGACGTCGGAGGTCTGAGCCGTTGGAGGCCTTCAGAGGTCGTCGGAGGCCACGTGAAGCCTCTCGAGGCCCCGAAAAGAGCCAGAAGCGTTCAAGAGCCTCTTCGACAGGGCCCATCTCGATCAGCTCGACCCGAGAATCTTCGAGGAGACGAGGAAGAGCAGGAGGAGGAGGAGGAGGAGGAGGAGGAGGAGGAGGAGGAGGGCGGAGGAGGAGGAGGAGGAGGAGGAGAAGGAGGAGGGAGGGGAGGAGGAGGAGGAGGAGGAGGAGGAGGAGGAGGAGGGAGGAGGAGCAGGAGGAGGAGGAGGAGGAGGAGAGGAGGAGGAGGAGGAGGAGAGGAGGAGGAGGAGGAGAAGGGAGGAGGAGCAGGAGGAGGAGGTGAGGAGGAAGGAGGAGGAGGAGGGAGGAGGAGGAGGGAGGAGGAGGAGGATGGAGGGAGGGAGGGAGGGAGGGAGGGAGGGAGGGAGGGAGGGGGAGGGAGGGAGGGAGGGAGGGGGAGGGAGGCGTAAGGAGGGAGGAGGAGGAAAGGAGGAGGAGAGAGGGATGGAGGGGCGGGAGGGAGGAGGGAGGGAGGGAGGGAGAGTGGACGGGAGGAGGAGGAGGAGGAGGAGGGAGGAGGAGGGAGGAGGAGGAGGAGGAGGAGGAGGAGAGCGGGGATGAGGACGAGGAGGAGCGGGAGGAGGAGGAGGAGGAGGGAGAGTGGGCAGCGGGACTCTGCAGAAGCAGCCATCACGCGCACTGGCTGTCTCAAAAACCCTGGCCCGAACCAAAAGCAGGACATGGGCCGCCACGAGGCCGCGAAGTTTTTTGCGGCTTGCGAGTCACGACTCCCTATCTTCTTCCTGCTCGTCCTCCTCGTCCTCTCCTTCTCCTCCTCCTCGTCCATCTCGTCCTCCTTCTCGTCCGTCTCATCCTTCTCGTCCTTCGCGATTCCTTGTCCTCGTCCTGCTCGGCCTCTTCTGCTCCTTCGGTTGACGGCGGCGCGAACGTGCGAAGCTATTCGCGCAGCGCGCGGCGCGAAGATGGCTGCCCTCGAATCATATAACGTCGATCCGACCGATCACTTGATCCGATCCGATCCGATCCGATCGATCCGATCGAACACCCGATCCGACCGATCCGATCGAGCACAGCTGCTCGTGAGTGACAAGCAACAGATCGATCCGGCCGATCCGATCCGATACCGGACACCCACGGAGGGCACCCGCGGGGGCTGCAGAGGCAGCCGCGCTTCGCGGTTCCCAGGCGGTCGGGAGCGCCCACATCTCAGTGGGTCGGGCGGAGGGTCACGGCATGGCAGCAGACGCGGGGGACGCGCGCTGCCGTGGTGCGAAGGTGGCGCGGCTCTGGCCACGCGCGCGGCCTTCGATCTCGCCAGGCCAGCGATCAGGGACGAGGCCTCCCGGATGGGGTCGGTTGCTCGATGTGGAGCCCGATGTTCTCCACGCCGACGCCGCTGGTGCATCGCCAATGCATCGCCGAGGCATCGGCGGCGCGATCCTCCGACCCCTTCTACAGTGAAGACGCTGAAGTAAGGTGGGGATTTGAAGGGAGCTCGGTTCCTTGGGTCCTTCCGTGGCTGTTCCTCTGGCCCTCCTCGTGCACGCAGGCGCTCCAGCGGCCAAAAAGGGGCTGCGCTCCTCCTCATCGTTCCTTATTGCGAAGGACTTGCGGCAGGTGCCGTCGACACAGAAGGACGACGATGACGGTCACGACGACGACCGCGACAACAACGACAACGACGATCCGATGACCCTGCCACAAGCTCGGGACATGGGGCGGGCGGTGGAGGAAGGAGGAGGAGGAGGAGGAAGAGGATGGGGAGGGGGAGGAGGAGGAGGAGGGCGAGGGGGAGGAGGAAGAGCAGGAGGAGGAGGAGGACGAGGAGGAGGAGGAAGAGGAGGAGGAAGAGGACGAGGAGGAGGAGGAGGAGGAGGAGCGAGGAGGAGGAGGAGCGAGGAGCGAGGAGGAGGAGGAGGAGGAGGAGGAGGAGGATAATGAGGATAAGGAGGAAAAGGAGGAGGAGGAGGAGGAAGAGGAGGAGGAGGAGGAGGAGGAGGAGGAGGAGACGAGGAGGAGGAGGCAGCAGCCCGACTATACTCCGACCCCATCTCTGCGGCTTCTGCAGGGGCAAGAGCAAGAAGCACACGCGTGTCCAGGAGGGCCCTGGTCGAGTCTCGGCCTCGCGCCGGCGGCCTGGCGCGCGAGCGAGCCCGCCTCTGCCCGGCGCGACGCCAGTGGGGGGTGCCCCTGCGGCCAGGCAGACACAGCCCATCGCTGACTGTCCACCCGCGAGGGGACGGGGAGGGTGCGAGCCTTGGGAGGTCCGCGCCGCTTCTCACGCCGCCTGGGCGGGTCAAGCGCCCCGCAGGTACCAGCTGTGGGCCGGCAGCTTCCTGAGGGCGCCAGACGAAGACCAGTGCGACCAGCCTCCGCCGCCTTTGCCCAGGACGAGGAAGAGGACCAGGAGCAAGAGCAAGAGCAGGAGGCAGGGGCAGGAGGAGGAAGATGAGGAGGAACAGGGGGAGGAGTTGGAGGAGGAGGAGGAGGAGGAGCAGGATAGAGAGGAGGAGCGGGAGGAGGAGGAGGAGAAAGAGGGCGGATGATGATGATGATGATGATGATGATGAGATGATGATGATGATGATGATGATATGATGATGATGATGATGATGATGCTGATGATGCTGATGATGAAGAGGATGATGAGGATGTGATGATGCTGATGAGGATGAGGATGAGGATGAGGATCAGGATGAGGATCGAGGATGATGGAAGAGGATGATGAATATTGATGGCGTTCTTGATGATGATGAAGATGATGACGAGGATGATGATCATGATGATGTGATGATGGTGATGATGCTGATGTTGATGATCATGATGATGAAGATGCAGATGATGATGAGGATGATGAGGATGATGATTCTTATGATGATGATGATGATGATGATGATGATGATGATGATGATGATGATGATGATGATGATGATGATGATGATGATGATGATGATGATGATCAGCATCATCAGCGCCGAGCTGGAGGGGTACAAGGGCCTGCTCGACTCCCTGCGGTCGCAGGGCGCGGAGGGCAAAGCGAGGATGAAGCAGATCGGCTCCCCCGCAGCCAGCCTGGCGCTGGCAGCCCTGGAGGGCCTCATGGAGTGCGACATTGGCGGCGGCATCAAGAACGAGATACGGACCTACCTGCACAAGTGCCCCCCCGAGGACGCGGAGGCGGAGCCCGACATCGACAAATCGGACCTGGAGGTCGCCGTCAGCTTCATTCGCCTGGAGAGCTGCTACGACACGCAGAAGATGAAGGTCATCGTGGGCGCCCCCAGCTGGGAGGGGCGCGCTCTCATCCAGAGGGCGCTGAAGGCAGAGGCAGTCGCGACTCACCATAAGGGGGTAGCCCCTGCAGGCTGGCTCGAGGACGAGGTGGGCCATTGGCTGGAGACGATCAGCGACAACCTCTAGAGCCCGTTAGATTTGTGAGCGGAGGTTTTTTGCCAGCCTCGAGCGCTGTCCCAGCAACAGCGACCTCTGCCCGCGCCTCACCCAGCGAGCCAGGCTCGGAGCCAGGCCCTGGTTTGCCAGCGCAGACTTCCGACCCCGAGCCCTTCGATGACTATGAGGCCGAGGACCTCGTAGCAGCAGAATTTTATTCATAGCTTCGCCCATGCCGACCTATTGCCGCCAGGACCCCGCTGTGATCAGCACCCTGGTGGCACCGCTCTGAGCAGCACTCGAGAGTCACCGCTCTCTGCGACGAGCCTCAATTTTTGTGCGAAATGATATGCGTAAGTATATCATTTCTTTTGGCTCTGACGTCGTTGGAAAAATGATGATGATGATTATGATGATGATGCTGATGATGATGATGATGGTGCTGATGATGATGATGATGATGATGATGGTGGTGATGGTGGTGGTGATGGTGACGATGACGCTGCTGATGGTGATGAGGATGAGGATGAGGATGAGGATGAGGATGAGGATGATGACGGTGATGGTGATGGTGATGGTGATGATGATGATGCTGCTGATGATGATGATGATTGCGATGATGATGATGATGATGGTGATGATGATGTTGATGATGGTGATGATGGCGATGACGATGATGATGATGAGGAGGGGGAGGAGAAGGAGGAGGAGGAAGAGGAGGAGGAAGGGGAGGAGGAGGAGGAAGAGGTGGAGGAGGAGGAGGAGGAGAGGAGGTGTCGCTCAGGCCTTGGAGGGCCAAGATATTGCGGTTCGTGTTAACTCCTCGGGGCGTGATCTTGGGTGTGATGCTACTCTTGGAAAACTTCGGAGGGTCCGAGTTCGACAGAACCGACAACGGAAAGGCTTTGTCAGGCTGGCCAAGATGTGCAAACTTTCTAAGGGCAGGAAGTACCTGCGCGTCCTTGTCACGACGGGGGCCAAGCCGCAGCTCCTGTGGGGATTTCAAGGG